CAAGCAACCCATGTCATCCCAATGCTACCTGTACTGATAATGAAGGTTCTTTTGACTGTGAATGTAATGTTGGATATTCTGGAAATGGATTTAATTGTGCCAGTAAGTAAATCTTTCCTAGTAAGTAAAATCTTTCATTCTATCATGTGTATAAAATATTTCACCTTTCTTCAAAACAAATTTTTCTTATTTTTATATTTTACAGATATTGATGAATGTTTGAGTGACCCGTGTCATATTAATGCCAACTGTTCTGACAATGAAGGTTCTTTTGACTGTCATTGTAATGTTGGATATTCTGGAATTGGATTCAATTGTTAAATCAATTGTTCTAGTAAGCAAGTCTTTTGTTATTTAATCTGTCTCAAATATTTTACCTTTCTTCAAAACAAATTTTTCTTACCTTTATATTTTACAGATATTGATGAATGTTTGAGTGACCCTCCAATTTACGCGATGTCCGACAGGACAATGCAAGTCGTTGGCGAGCCAATAAATTTCATAAAAACATCATTTGCATTGCGCATTGTCGCAAAAAATTGTCTCTTGGGACATCTCATTAAGCCTTTTTCCGCGTCTGTCGTCATTATAAGAAATGTCTATTAATTAATTCGATGTATGTAGTATTAGCTAGTTATATTCGTATTTATTATTATGTTATGTTCGTATTTTTAGGAGATGCGCGTATATACAGGTCTTTAGACCTTGGAAATGTAGCCGAGTTGAATCGTTTTGGAAGTGGAGCACTAATCTCAGGTAACCCCATAAAAAACCGTCAAAATAACAGGCAAGAGAAAATCTTCCATTATTCCAATGCTTCAGAGATGCTGACACATAAGTGTCAATATATCTGAAGTTATCCACTATCTGCTGCTTTTTACGGAAAAATTAAAACTGTATCTTTGTTTCTTTGTTAGAGGTTTACGCTGTCACACACTTTGGATAAAGCCCAAGTGTAAACCATTCTTTACAGTATATATTTCTCATCCTAGGTGCTCTAAAAGACTCGTGTTTGGTGGCGCCGTACAATTGCGCAGAAGGAATAACAGTGTCATTCTGGTTGCAATTTATATCTGGAGGAATCATAATCCGTACAGGCAAAGCTGGTTTCCACGTTTATGTTGAAGATGGGAAATTCTTCATCACCTATCAAGGCGTGGGCAGAAGCTGGACTATAGAACGTGGGTGTATTCCTATGGACGTCTTCCTCGTGACAGCCACGTGGAGTGCAGCTGAAGGATTGTCGTATTACGAGAATGGGAAACTTGTGGTCTCAACCCAAATCTCCGATCCAAGTTCGATTTCTGAGAATTTTAATGACGTCATCACTGTTGGGTATGAGGAAACTTCGAGTGGGAAAAGATATTCAAGTATAATCATTGATGATCTCATGATTTGGAACCGTGCGCTAATTTCCGAGAATGTTCAAACAATTCATTCTTATGGTAAGCCACGATTGAAATATTCCGAAAAACCGATCAATATACTCACTTATGTTATATTATTGCCATTTTAAATTTATTATTTTATGCTTTTTTATTCCAGGAGTCTTGACTTCATTTGATCGTGGATCATGTCTGTCAGATCCATGTGAATCTGGTTCTTGGTGCTTCCAGGGTCGTTCCTCTACTCAACATGCCTGCATACAGCCTACGAGTAGTGACTGTTCATTTGAAGATGGTCTGTGTAATTTCAGCGCGTCCGGTGCGGCAATAACTACGACAAATAACCAGAGTGCAATCGCTGGAAATTTCCCGTTCCATGAACACACGTTTGGGATCTGTAGAGCTAGAGGTAATTATCATATTGTGGTATATTTTCCATATAAGTATAAGTATAAATGACTCTACCATAATTTTAGTGCACAATCCAACTTTCGTATTGCAGATAGGATTGGTGTAAGATTTGTGTTAGGATTGTAATGATCCGAATAGGATTAAGATTATTATGGTTACGATTAAAGTCGATATTAGTTTTGTAAGGATTTTGAATAGTTTAGGATAAGAAATGGCTGTAATTAAATTCTAATTTTTAGTATGTGGCAACTGAGTTTATCATTTAATTGTGAGGAAAATCGAAAATTATTTAGTTTTAACTTTATTCAAAGCTTCTTTGTTATATACATTCTTTTTGAATTTGCTTGATCACAACGAAATATTAGTTTTGTGATTTAAGATATGTTTAAACATTGCCAGCCCCATTCTCATGCTCAAATATTTTAGACCCACCGGCGAAATTTCTGAGGTTTGAACCAACATTTGACGGAAGCGTCGCCTCACTCAACTCCAACACTTTTGTGTCACAGAGAGGACTTCTAGTTCGTTTTCGTTTCTGGTACTTCATACACGGCGAAGATATATAGCATTCTACACTAAGCTGTGTTTTAATTTGCGTTTGAACTACTTGAAAAAGAAATCTCAAGTGTGGGAATCCAGTATACGTAGTATTCTCCAATATGCTCCTATGGTCGTAGTTTGTGTCTGAAGCTCATCTTAAAAATTAGAAGTTCTTGGACGTTTTGAGCGATAACTATTCGGTGTGATGGTCAGTATTTGAATATGCACCGAAATTGGTCAACCATGCAAGGACTCTCTTTTGAGACGTTAAAGATTTTGTAATCTTAATATATTGCTGGATCTTTCAATCAAGGTCTCACATGTCTGTGTTCCCTTGGAAAAATGTTCCTTCGTTCCCTTCTTCCCTACAAAGATTTCACCATGTCCCTTTGTTTCCCAAGCTTACATGTTCCCTTGTTGCTTCTGATCTCTTTGGCTCTATTGCCTTGTTTCAAACCCCTGGGAGACCCTCTTCAGTCGCTTTTCCACCAACAGTAAACAAACCGTCCTTTATATTTTAGATTCTTTCATATCGTCAACGTTAACTTTCGAAGTAACACCATCAGTGCCGGTATCCAACTATCTCTCAATGGATGGCTTTTGAATCAGGAACAAATGTCACGATAACATGTGAAGTTGCCTCGGTAACAAAACCAACCATAATTTTGAAGAAAGATAGGATTATATCTCCTGCACAACAGCTGATACAAGACTACTGCATATAATGAACATGATGTTTAAACCGGCCCAACAATGAGGATGAAGCTAAACCAACATGCTGAACTGGTTTGAACGATCCCTGATACACAGTTGCTTCTTTATAACTGCTGACTTTTGCCTTCATTTCTAACACAGACAAAATAATTTTTACCTTCCTTTTCAATTTTGTTTAGGTTCGTTCCAATATGTGCCCATCAAGGCTCATCAAGTCAGTTGATTGCGGACTATGATTCGAAATACGAGTTTTCCTTACTTGGTCTTGGAGAAGCATATAATGAAGTTTCCTTGGAAAGAAAAAACTGGTTAACTGGGCAATATGCACAAAGCTCTGCTCAGATGAATAGTGGATCATTTGAAAATTTTTATATTTCTTTTACTGGAGTATACGATAAATGCAGGTGTGCGCAAACTGGGCGACATCGCTTCAAAGTCAGGACTAATGGAGTGAACATCTCATATTATGATTTTGAAACACTTCGATTACGAGGTGAGTAAAAGCGACCAGCATGAAGTTGTCTCAGTTTAGCCTCGATTTTCCCGGCCATAATGAGTCATATCGCTAGAATAATTGGCTAACTTGATCACTTAGATGCTTTATATACAACCATTGTATATTAATTTTCAGATCCCGATCCTCCCAAGTCTGTTACAGTAACACATAACGGTACCAGTCGTGTTCAAGTCATGTGGAATTCTCCCGGATGTAACGGAGGACCCGTAAGAGGCGTTCGTGTCTCAATGTACTCCGCTAACTCAACAACTTACTTTGAAAGAAATGAAACTATGTGGAACTCTTTCACTGGTGCAGGATCTTTTATTATTACTGATCATGAATTTGAAGTCAATGCGGAGTATAATTGGACAGTGGCTGTACTTTATGATTACGGAAATGGAACGGTATGGAGTCAGGAAAGTTCTATTCTTTCCACAATGATCTCAGGTATGTAAAATTTGTTCTTACCAAAACTAGAGTTACTTGTAGTTAGCTGAGAGCTAAGCTGAGGGCGCTTCTGCCTACTCTTACTCCTCTAAGGGCGCTTCTGGCACTCATGTCTGATCAAGAAGCACACTCCGGTGGAAGGGTCAGTTATGGGGGCTAATCCCAACCCCACCCTGGAGAAAACCCAAGACTTTTGGTAGAGTGTTGACTGACTCTTCACATAAATATCTTGAGTCTGGAACGAGGATCGAACCGACGATCTCAGAGGTGAAAGGCCCTTGCTCTGACAATTGCTTGATTTATCTCATTAACTCTTATATCTCATTGGCAGTTGAATTTGCAGTCAAACTATCATTACACGATGGTAATTCTTACCAGGAGTTACCAACAAATGATGGTACCTACATCATTGAACGTGGGCAAAGTCTAGTACTCTTTTGTAACGTAACTTCAATCACTTGGCCTCAGAGAACTTGGAGTAAACGCACCTATCAAGGATATGAAGCTGTTCAAAGCCAAGAGTTCCAACCAGAATTTTCATCATCTGGCTTTGGATGGACAAGTACCATAAATATTCCACAGTTCAACTACACGGATTCTGGTAATTATAGTTGTTCAGGTGCCGCCGGGAGTAATCATGGCATTGATTACGCAACATTATATATAAACGGTAAGTAAATAACATAGCATTACATCTTTCTCTTTGGGCACTTGCTTTCTTACTTGCCTTTGTCCTTTCTTTTTCCACCCTTATTTTATCTTTTCCTTCCTTTTCGTCTTTTCATCTCTCCCTCCTCCCATTTTACCTACGTCACATTTTCCCTTACGTATACTCTCCCTCCCCCCTACCTCCTTTCTAACTCCCTCCCTTTTTTCATTTATTTATTAACAATTCCCTCTTTCCGTGTTCCTTTTCCCTCATTCCTTTCTTATTTCCTTCCTTCCTTTATTTTCCTTTTTATCTTCCTCCTCTCTCTTACCATCATCGTTATCCATTCCTTATTTCCATGCTTCCCTCTTTCGTTCCTTTATTACTTTCTTCATTTTTCTTCATTCTTCACCCTCTCTCCTTTCATCCTTCTTTCCTTTCCTACATTTCTCTCGCTGTCTTTCTGCCTACTCTTACTACTTCAGTTATATATTCCTTCCTTCCTTTCTTTCTTTTTTTCCCTCTTACATATGTACTACGTATACCTACCTCCTTATCTTTCTTCCATACAACGTTCTTCCCACTTACTCTAACGAATGCTTCTTCTCCTTTCTTCACCCAGGGCTCTCTTTTCCACCACGCCAAGCACTAATCTTATTTATCAACCTCTACAATTTTAGCACGTCTGATTGTTGTCACGACCTCAATAATGCCAGAAAACTATATTGTTCCATACCACTCAACGTTCAAAGCAGAAATTATCCTACAAGGCTCATCTACAGTCTATAACCCAGATTTACAAATCGTTGATTGGCGTACTGGAAAAAACAGCTCTAATCAAGGACTCACATTTGTGGAAATTAGAGATGGTTATTTAAAACTTACTGCTCAGTATAACTCGTTCGAATGTTCAAACACCGGAGTACATCGTACTGTTTTAGAGTTGGAAGATTATTCACAATTCGAATATGAATTATCAAGGTCATTGCTTATTTCAGGTAAAACAATCACTAAAATTTCCTCCAATTTCGATATGCACAGTTAATGGCAACAACGTTGGATAATGCGTTGGATGATACTTTTGAGCAAAGTCAAAGCTCATTCAACATCTGGAAACATACCGTATCTATTATTTTGATAAGCCATGGTATTGATGATGATCTTATTTTTTTCACAGATCCTGACCCTCCACAAATTACTTCAGTAATAGGCATTTCAGAATCTGCGATAAAATTAACATGGAGTGCAGGTCAATGCGACATGGGTTATCCTCGGGAAATCTCTATTTCTGTATTCAAACGAAATGGAGAACTTTTTAAACAAAACATTTTGAATATCACAAGTTATAATGAAAGTACTGGTGCTGGTGTAACGTTGGTTGAAAAAGGACAAGATTTTAATACATCTTACACTGAGTGGATCATTGATGTGTTATATAATGGTACCACTGAACCAGTTTGGAGTCGACCATCACCAGATTACTTTGCTACAATATCTGGTATGTAGGCGATTTAAATGATAACTTAACGGAATAAAACTGATCGATAAGTAGGTGAGTCAGTCGGCCACCATATGGCTAATGAAAACCACTTATTATTTTTGTAGGCGCGATAACCATCAGTTTTGTGTCCAATTCATCCTCCAGCTTGCTAGCATACAGAACTCCAGTGGGCCATATTATCAAGAGAAACGAATCAGTCACCATCACATGCCAGACCTTAGCTGCAGGAACATCATCAAACTTTACTTGGACTAAGAAAACATTTGCAAATCAAACTACGTTAAGCGGCAATAACATCAGATCCTGGAATGAAGGCGAATATTTGTATGGATCTGTTACGTTGGACTATTTTGATTATACTCATTGTGGGGTATACAGCTGTCAAGTGAATATGAGGTGCTATCACAATGGAGTTATACTCATTTGCATAAATTGTACGTTTCAGCACCGATCGTTGTGGAAGATGTAGCCAAGAACCTGAATTCAAGAGTACGCCGTGGTAGTCTGAAAACAATCAAATTTTTATTGCTCGGCTATCCCCAACCACAAACATAGCTCAACGATTAGATCAACCTGACAGCTACTGGAGGAACTATACAGACTATCTACCAGTCTTGAGTGAGGATGTTTATTGGACGGTGGAAGTGACGCGTAACATAACTTGTGCAGACACTGGTCTTATCCGCCTGGTGATCTTAGATGAGAATATGAGATATGTGTTCAATGTAGAGACCGAACACCATTGATTGGTACCTAGATATAGTAAATAGAAAAGTACATTATTTTGTCACTCTCTTCACTTCCATCTGCCTCAAAATAGTATTTAGTAAAAACTACATTTCCTCTACGATGTTGGCCAACATGTTTGACAGGCATAAAATGTTCTCACCTTTTCGTTATATAACAAACATAGATCCTGATTCGCCTACCATCATATCTGTGGAGTACCTTTCTGAATCTCGCGCAAACATAACGTGGAAAGCAAAAAGATGTAACTTTGCTCCTGTCAGGCGTCTAAACATTCAAGAAGCAGACACTGGTGTCGCGCTCTCCTATCCTGAGACAAACTGGAACAACGAAACTGAAATTGGTTATCAAATAGTAGAGAATATTACAGTTGTAGAAAATCAGACGTATTTTTGGAATGTAAGCGTTGTTTATGATGAAGGTGTAGAAGAAGCAACGAGTCAGTCAAGTCCAATTTTTGAAGCTGCTGTTGTTGGTAAGCTGAGAGTTCAGTACAGTAAGCGGTTAAGTATTGATGGTAGTGATGAAGGTGATGAGAGTGGTGAAGTTTATAGCAATAGTGATATCGATGATGATGCTGATCGTCACTTGCTTCCTCCATTTCTAGATTTTGATGAATGTTTGAGCAACCCATGTCACCACAATGCCAATTGTACTGACACCGAAGGTTCTTTTGACTGTGAATGTAATCCTGGGTATAATGAAACTGGATTTAATTGTTCTAGTAAGTACATTTTTCGTTGCCGTAACTAAAATATCTTACCCTTTTTTGTATCACTTATTGTCTGTCACTTGTATAATCTTTTTAGACATCAATGAATGTTTAAGTAACCCATGTCATCACAATGCTACCTGTACTGACAATGAAGGTTCTTTTGACTGTGAATGTAATGTTGGATATTCTGGAAATGGATTTAATTGTGCCAGTAAGTAAATCTTTCATTGGTGTGTCTTAAATATTCTACCTTTTTTAATCACTTGTTGTTTGTATAATCTTTTTAGACATCAATGAATGTTCAAGCAACCCATGTCATCCCAATGCTACCTGTACTGACAATGAAGGTTCTTTTGACTGTGAATGTAATGTTGGATATTCTGGAAATGGATTTAATTGTGCCAGTAAGTAAATCTTTAATTGGTGTGTCTTAAATATTCTACCTATTTTAATCATTTGTTGCTTCTTACTTGTATAATCTTTTTAGACATTAACGAATGTTTAAGTAACCCATGTCATCACAATGCTACCTGTACTGATAATGAAGGTTCTTTTGACTGTGAATGTAATGTTGGATATTCTGGAAATGGATTTAATTGTGCCAGTAAGTAAATCTTTCATTGGTGTGTCTTAAATATTCTACCTTTTTTAATCACTTGTTGTTTGTATAATCTTTTTAGACATCATTGAATGTTCAAGCAACCCATGTCATCCCAATGCTACCTGTACTGACAATGAAGGTTCTTTTGACTGTGAATGTAATGTTGGGTTTTCTGGAAATGGATTTAATTGTTCTAGTAAGTACATCTTTCTGTGGTGTGTCTAAAATATTCTACCTATTTTAATCATTTGTTGCTTCTTACTTGTATAATCTTTTTAGACATTAACGAATGTTTAAGTAACCCATGTCATCACAATGCTACCTGTTCTGACAATGAAGGTTCTCTTGACTGTGAATGTAATGTTGGGTATTCTGGAAATGGATTTAATTGTTCTAGTATGTAAATATTTCTTTGATAAATCTAAAATATTTTACCTTTTTGAATAACTTATTGTTTGTTACCTGTATACTATCTCTTTAGACATCATTGAATGTTCAAGCAACCCATGTCATCCCAATGCTACATGTATTGACAGTAAAGGTTCTTTTGTCTGTAAATGTAATGTTGGGTTTAGTGGAAGTGGATTTAATTGTTCAAGTAAGTAATTTTTTCACTGGTGTATATCAGATATTTTATGTTTCTTAATCAGAGACTATTTGTTATTTGTACCTTATCTTTTTAGATATCATTGAATGTTCAAGCAACCCATGTCATCCCAATGCTAGCTGTACTGACAATGAAGGTTCTTTTCACTGTGAATGTAATGTTGGATATTCTGGAAATGGATTTAATTGTTCTAGTGCGTAAATCTTTCGTTCATATATGTTTAAAATTCTGTAGGTTTATGCTAACGACATAATATTTTTTTCTGATTTCTTAATTTTTTGTAGACATCAATGAATGTTCACGCAACCCATGTCATCGCAATGCCACCTGCTCTGACAATGAAGGTTCTTTTGACTGTGAATGTAATGTTGGGTATTCTGGAAATGGATTTAATTGTTCTAGTAAGTACATTATTCATTGGTATGTTTCAATATTTTACCTTTTTTTTAATCACTTATTGTTTGTTACTTGTATTATCTTTTTAGACATCAACGAATGTTCAAGCAACCCATGTCATGCCAATGCCACCTGTACTGACAATGAAGGTTCTTTTGACTGTGAATGTAATGTTGGGTATTCTGGAAATGGATTTAGTTGTTCTAGTAAGTACATTATTCATTGGTATGTTTCAATATTTTACCTTTTTTTAATCACTTATTGTTTGTTACTTGTATTATCTTTTTAGACATCAATGAATGTTCAAGCAATCCATGTCATCTCAATGCTATCTGTACTGACAATGAAGGTTCTTTTGACTGTGAATGTAATGTTGGGTATTCTGGAAATGGATTTACTTGTTCTAGTAAGTAAATCATTCCTTGGTGCAAATGTTTTAGTTTTTTAATGTTTTTGATATTTATTTGTATTTTGTATAATCGTGTTAGACCATAATGAATGTTTGAACAAACCATGCCATCTCAATGCTACCTGTACTGACAATGAAGGTTCTTTTGACTGTGAATGTAATGTTGGATATTCTGGAAATGGATTTAATTGTGCCAGTAAGTAAATCTTTCATTCATATATGTCTAAAATTCAGTATCTTTATGCTAACGACATAATATTTTTTCTGATTTCTTAATTTTTTGTAGACATCAACGAATGTTCAAGCAACCCATGTCATCGCAATGCCACATGTACTGACAATGAAGGTTCTTTTGTTTGTCAATGCAATAATGGGTTTTCTGGAGATGGGATTTTAAATTGTGCAAGTTAGTATGAAACAAAATGGAATCTTGTTTTTTATTTTTCTGCGTTTTGCAAATTTTTTCTTATTCCTTTTTCAGATATTGACGAATGTCTACGTATTTCATGTCATATAAATGCAGACTGTTTGGATTCTCATGGTTCATATAGTTGTCGTTGTAAAACTGGATTCAATGGAAACGGAACTGTTTGTCGAAGTAAGCCACGACATCTTACGAACGTAGGACAAGTTTTTTTTAGTTTTGTTTATAATGCCTTTATTTCTTCTTTGTTTTCTTATGTTTCTTACAGTATATGTCATTTTCTAGACATTGATGAATGTTTGACGAACCCATGTCATGCCAATGCTACCTGTACTGACAATGAAGGTTCTTTTGCTTGTGAATGTAATATTGGATATTCTGGAAATGGATTTAATTGTTCTAGTAAGTAAATTTTTCATTGGTATGTCCAAAATATTTTACCTTTTTTTTAATCATTTATTGTTTGTTACTTGTATTGTCTTTTTAGACATCAATGAATGTTCAAGCAACCCATGTCATCTCAATGCTATCTGTACTGATAATGAAGGCTCTTTTGATTGTGAATGTAATGTTGGGTATTCTGGAAATGGATTTAATTGTTCTAGTAAGTAAATCTTTCGTTCAAATATGTCTAAAATTCTGTAGCTTTATGCTAACGACATCATATTTTTTCTGATTTCTTAATTTTTTGTAGACATCAATGAATGTTCAAGCAACCCATGTCATCTCAATGCTACCTGTACCGACAATGAAGGTTCTTTTGTTTGCCAATGTAGTGTTGGGTATTCTGGAAATGGATTTAATTGTTCTAGTAAGTGCATTATTCATTGGTATGTTTCAATATTTTACCTTTTTTTTAATCACGTATTGTTTGTTACTGGTATTATCAATCTTTTTAGACATCAATGAATGTTCAAGCAACCCATGTCATCTCAATTCTACCTGTACTGATAATGAAGGTTCTTTTGACTGTGAATGTAATGTTGGGTATTCTGGAAATGGATTTAATTGTTCTAGTAAGTAAATCTTTCTATGGTGTGTCTAAAATATTCTACCTTTCCGAATAACTCATTGTTTGTTATGCTTTTAGGCATCAATGAATGCTCAAGCAACCCATGTCATCTCAATGCTATCTGTACTGACAATGAAGGTTCTTTTGACTGTGAATGTAATGTTGGGTATTCTGGAAATGGATTTAATTGTTCTAGTAAGTAAATCTTTCTATGGTGTGTCTAAAATATTCTACCTTTCCGAATAACTCATTGTTTGTTATGCTTTTAGGCATCAATGAATGCTCAAGCAACCCATGTCATCCCAATGCTACCTGTACTGACAATGAAGGTTCTTTTGACTGTGAATGTAATGTTGGGTATTCTGGAAATGGATTTAATTGTTCTAGTAAGTAAATCTTTCTATGGTGTGTCTAAAATATTCTACCTTTCCGAATAACTCATTGTTTGTTATGCTTTTAGGCATCAATGAATGCTCAAGCAACCCATGTCATCCCAATGCTACCTGTACTGACAATGAAGGTTCTTTTGACTGTGAATGTAATGTTGGGTATTCTGGAAATGGATTTAATTGTTCTAGTAAGTAAATCTTTCTATGGTGTGTCTAAAATATACTACCTTTCCGAATAACTCATTGTTTGTTATGCTTTTAGACATCAATGAATGCTCAAGCAACCCATGTCATCTCAATGCTATCTGTACTGACAATGAAGGTTCTTTTGACTGTGAATGTATTGTTGGGTATAATGGGACAGGATTTAATTGTTCAAGTAAGTAATTTCACTGGTGTGTCTAAGGTATTTTACCTTGTTTAAATCACTTATTGTTTGATTGTTGTATTCTCTTTCTAGACATTAATGAATGCTCAAGCAACCCATGTCATGCCAATGCCACCTGTACTGACAATGAAGGTTCTTTTGACTGTGAATGTAGTGTTGGGTATTCTGGAAATGGATTTAATTGTTCTAGTAAGTAAATCTTTCTATGGTGTGTCTAAAATATTCTACCTTTCCGAATAACTCATTGTTTGTTATGCTTTTAGGCATCAATGAATGCTCAAGCAACCCATGTCATCCCAATGCTACCTGTACTGACAATGAAGGTTCTTTTGACTGTGAATGTAATGTTGGGTATTCTGGAAATGGATTTAATTGTTCTAGTAAGTAAATCTTTCTATGGTGTGTCTAAAATATACTACCTTTCCGAATAACTCATTGTTTGTTATGCTTTTAGACATCAATGAATGCTCAAGCAACCCATGTCATCTCAATGCTATCTGTACTGACAATGAAGGTTCTTTTGACTGTGAATGTATTGTTGGGTATAATGGGACAGGATTTAATTGTTCAAGTAAGTAATTTCACTGGTGTGTCTAAGGTATTTTACCTTGTTTAAATCACTTATTGTTTGATTGTTGTATTCTCTTTCTAGACATTAATGAATGCTCAAGCAACCCATGTCATGCCAATGCCACCTGTACTGACAATGAAGGTTCTTTTGACTGTGAATGTAGTGTTGGGTATTCTGGAAATGGATTTAATTGTTCTAGTAAGTAAATCTTTCTATGGTGTGTCTAAAATATTCTACCTTTCCGAATAACTCATTGTTTGTTATGTTTTTAGACATCAATGAATGCTCAAGCAACCCGTGTCATCCCAATGCTATCTGTACTGATAATGAAGGTTCTTTTGGCTGTGAATGTAATGTTGGGTATTCTGGAAATGGATTTACTTGTTCTAGTAAGTAAATCATTCTTTGGTGCAAATGTTTTAGTTTTTTAATGTTTTTGGTATTTATTTGTATTTTGTATAATCGTTTTAGACAATAATGAATGTTTAAGCAACCTTTGTCATCTCAATGCCAACTGTACTGACAATGAAGGTTCTTTTGACTGTAAATGCCATGTTGGTTATTCTGGAAATGGATTTAATTGTTCCAGTAAATAAATCTTTCGTTCATATATGTCTAAAATTCTGTATTTTTATGCTAACGACATAATATTTTTTCTGATTTCTTAATTTTTTGTAGATATCAACGAATGTTCAAGCAACCCATGTCATCGCAATGCCACATGTACTGACAATGAAGGTTCTTTTGTTTGTCAATGTAATAATGGGTTTTCTGGAGATGGAATTTCAAGTTGTGCAAGTAAGTATGAAACAAAATGGAATCTTGTTTTTTATTTTTCTGCGTTTTGCAAATTTTTTCTTATTCCTTTTTCAGATATTGACGTATGTTTACGTATTTCATGTCATGTAAATGCAGACTGTTTGGATTCTCATGGTTCATACATTTGCCGTTGTAAATCTGGATTCAATGGAAACGGAACTGTTTGTCGAAGTAAGCCACGACATCTTATGAACGTAGGACAAGTTTTTTTTAGTTTTGTTTGTAATGCCTTTATTTCTTCTTTGTTTTCTTATGTTTCTTACAGTATATGTCATTTTCTAGACATTGATGAATGTTTGATGAACCCATGTCATCCCAATGCTACCTGCACTGACAATGAAGGTTCTTTTGTTTGTGAATGTAATGTTGGGTATTCTGGAAATGGATTTAATTGTTCTAGTAAGTAGAACTTTCATTGGTGTGTCCAAAATATTTTACTTTTTTTATTCACTCATTGTTTGTTATTATTTCACTCTCTTTTTAGACATTGATGAATGTTTGACGAACCCATGTCATCCCAATGGTATATGTAGTGACAATGAAGGTTCTTTTGACTGTGAATGTAATGTTGGGTATTCTGGAAATGGATTTAATTGTTCTAGTAAGTAAATCATTCCGTTATAGGTCTAAAATATTTTACCTTTTTTACTCACTTATTGTTTATTACTTTTTTTAATCTTTTTAGACATCAATGAATGTTCAAGCAACCCATGTCATCCCAACGCTACCTGTTCTGACAATGAAGGTTCTTTTGTTTGTGAATGTAAGGTTGGGTATTCTGGAACTGGATTTAATTGTTCAAGTAAG